TTTAACATTAGCAGTAGTTTAGCTGGGTAGGGAAGAGTAGACTTTAAAAATTAAAACAAACAAACAAAAAAAAAACAAAAACAAACCAAGGTGAACTAACCTTTTCTTAATCATGTCATGGCTGCAACTGAATGCCTCCTTAAAATCTCAGACACGAATTGGGTTATAGTCAAATTTCTCTGCAAGAAACCTTTGATCTTCTCTCTTCATCCCTTTCTTCTGTTGTCTTCTCTCCCTTCCAAGTATAAACGTGCTGTGGCAGAGGGTTTTCTGCCTGACCTCTGCTCTGTGCTGATGGGCTGAGTGGCTGCCATGTGTTCCAGCTGCCTGCCTTCTGCCTTTGGCTGCTCAGTGGCTGTGCTGTGGAGCTCCGTGCTGCCCAGTAGCATGCTCTCGTGGTGGGGCTCTGAGATTTTGTTTATGGAATCAAGAGAAGAGTTAAGTTGGTCAGAAAGGACATAACAAAGGCATTATCTCTTCAACCGTATGTCAGATGAGTTGAAATTGAGGGGGAATGAGCTGTAAGGGGTGAAGAGGGGTTTATTTAACTGCAGACACCTCACCTTTGTGAACTTCCTCCTTGAATAAAGAGCTAGTGGGTGTCAGAACTACATGCTGTTTAGTCACATCAGCCCTATATCAGTCTCCAGTCTTTTTCCTGTCATCACAGAAAGTCTGTGTTCTGTGAAGAGCGATTCTGTGTTATGTGACCCACAAAGTGTCCTCCACACAGGAAACATAAAGCTACAGTTTGACAGAATATGTGCTATAAATAGATGGGTGCACATTCTTGGTATGTATGGGAGGCAGGAGGAAGTAGAACAAGAACCCATAGATGGTAAAAAAAAAAAAAAAAAAAAAAGGGAGAAGTTTTTAAATATGCTCTTTATTAAGGCAAAGAATTGTCTGCATATTTTATCACCAGTAACTTGTTGACCTTAACTGGCAAATTTCTTTGGGTAGAAATGGGGAGTAGAAGTTACATTCCAGGAATTCTTCAGCCAGCAGCACCCAACTCAGAGCCTACTGGAACCAACACCTGGCCATTGCAGGCTAGGCAAAAGCCAAAACTGTCTTAAAAGATAACCATAAAAATATAAAGGAGCGAAAAAAAAAAAAAAAAAAAAGAAAGAAAACCAAAACAAGCTGCTTCAGTTACAATATAGAATCAGGTATTTAAAGATTAATTGATATTCCTTAGTTTTATTCTTCTGCTTAAATATGTATTTATCTCCAATTAATTAGAGTTGCTGGGTACAAACTTTCGTAGACATTGACATCCTTTGGTTTAAGATAGGACTGTATTCCTTCAGTATAGAGGACCAAAATACAGTGCCTTTGAAAGAGAGGTGAGTTTGGGTTCTTTGTTTTGAGTGAAGGGTGAGTTTGGCCTTGTGCTTCTCTGTGGGTAGGGAAGGAGGAGGTTGAACTCTGGGACCTTCTGGAAGTTGTTTAAATGCTTCCTGAAGTCAAAAAACTTCTGGATCTTATCTATAAATGGCAGTTCCAGAGATGTGACCCCCATCCTTTGTGCCTGTAGATCAGGGCTGTAGGAAGCACTCCATTTCTCCTTGCTCCAGGCAGAACTCTATTTCAAATGTGTTTCTGCCAGCTAGAGTTGCTTTCCAGTAACAGCTGAGTGTGGGTTGAACTTTCTCTGTACACATCAACACATTTTCAATACAAGTTTTCCCAGTTTCGTAGCCCTGCGCTGTTGGCTGGAGATTGGTGTGGTGGCTTCCCAGGCTTTCCCTATCTCCAAAAGGAATGGGGTCATATTTACATATATTATTCTATTTCTTCCTTTTGCTCCTTTTCTCCAGAATATAAATGCTGTTTAAAAAGAGATCTAAGTCTTTGGGGGTTTTTACTGAGCAACATCAGGTTAAGTTGGTTTGTTGGATCTACAGATCTGTAAACTAAAAGCTGAGAAAGATGGGATTTGTAACTGATTTTGTCAGATAGAAGAGAGATGAATCCCTTTGTAGATTGTGTGGAGCTGCCTCTGAACTGGGTGATCTGAAATCCCAACATACAAAAACTCCTGTTGAGTAACCAGCATTCTGCAACACTCAGTAGGGATGGAGGAGACGCTGACTAACACTGAGGTAATGCAGCTATCACAACTGAGCAAACCAGAAAACAGCCTGGATGCGACTCATTTCCTTTCCAACTGGAAGATCTCAAACTTTGCACTAAGAGTGGTTCACCAGTTAGAAACTGCTTTTATAGACACTCTCATATACCTAAAGGAAACTTTGCCTGAGAGGTTCTGGTAACCAATGAGTGGGGTTTTTCTGGACTGGTGAACTCTGGTGGAACCACAACAACCTGAGCTTACAACACAGCTGCGGTGGTTTTGCCGCTCCCCTCACCCAGTGGTGCCTTTGTGGTTTGCAGTGTTCATGGAATTTCAAGAAAATAAGCGTTGGTTGATGAATGTTAGACAAAAATAATACTGAAGTAATAAGATAAGACCATTTTTAGTCAAGCTTGTCTTGCTTTCTACTGCTGTATTAGAGACTGCATTAATTCTTAAAGGTCTGCTCAGAGCGGTTAAACTGCTCTGTGAATCTAAATGCCTGGATGGCAAAAGAGAAGAGCATGTAGTGAAGCTCTCATGTGGTTGAAGGAAGCTTCTGCCAGCCAACTACAGTATCAACAAACAAGTCAGTGGCAATCCATTCTGTGCTCCAGATGTTAGTAGTGCTGCTGTAAAACACTGGATCTGCTAAGAAGCTGAAGCTTCTCTCTTAGTATAAGACATTTTGCAGGGTCTTTTAAGTAGAACCACTGTGGAATGCGCATTTGTAACTCAGTGCCAGCTATACCCTCAATCACTGTATTTTTGGCAATAGAAACTGCTTTCTTGAATTTCTAGTGAAATATGCTTTGATTGGAAGTGCACCCCAGGCCCATGTTTCTGCTCCCTCTGCTGAGATGGAGGCAGGAGAGCTGTGGGCTGCCCGGAACAATCGATGGGTTCTGCACAAAGCAGCAGCCCAGGCTGTGCCCCTGTCCCAGCGTGTGACTCATCATGGTGGGAACTGAGTCAGGGGAAGAGGGGCGGTATTCCCTGCCCCAGTGATAGAGGGCAGATAGGCTTGTGAAGAAATTGTCCTCTTGAGGAAAGGAAACCGTCTGATGAAGATAGCCTTGGGGATGAGCAACCTCTGATGTGTGCCACGGCTAAATTACTCTCCTGGCTTTTCACTTATCCATCTACTGACAGCACGCAGCAGTGCTGCACAGCCACTTAGGAAGTTAAAATTGACCATTCAGTAAGCAGTCCTCACATCTTAAAAATGAGCTGTCCCTTGCTGTTTGCGTCATGTAAAGTTATATGATCAAACAGAGAAAATAAATCCTCCTTTTGCAAAACCTACAGACATATTGAGTATTTTGTTATTTTTTGCTTTTAGTATTTGCTAGGATTTGGAAACTTATTAACCCACCTGAAGTTTTGCTTTGATCAGGTCCACAGTGTAACAGCTATGAGAGACAAGTCACTACATCATAAATGTTATTCCTGTCCATGATTTTACCTACAGAGAGGTGACAAGACAAGGAAAACCAGCAACAAGTGTCGAGCCTGGGCATAGGAACTTTCCTGTTTTTGGCAGAATTATAGTTTTTCAGTTGGCTTCCTTAAGTAATGATTATTATCACTTAGCAGTAAGAACAACTGGCAGCAACACTGAATGACCAGGTCCTTCTTTCTGGCAGTGCCGTGGGTTTACCTGCACAGAACCCATACTGTCCTCGTGCTGCAGTGTGTCAGACTGCAGGTAGGCAGGCTGTGAGACTCAATAACTGATTACTGATTACTTAATTTAGCTTGCATATTTTCATAAAATCTGACCATAACAATATAGAATGGAATTGAAGTTTTTTACTTAAAGCAACTTTCTGTAATAGGTGAGAAACTGAAATTATTACCCCAATGTTCAGTTGTTCCCCCTGAAATCCTTCACATGTTTTTTCTTTCCCATGTGTGCCGCAACACTGGGCTATCAGTGAACATAGGCAAGGTAGGCATCACCAAAAACAGTGCAGTGCTGTAAATTTGCCCTCCAAGATAAACAGGAAGCTGATGCTAATTCTGAAATGTGATTCATTGTGTAATTGATGACAAAGCACACTTCCTTTTTTTCTCTTTTTTTTTTTTTCGGGGGGGGGAGGGAAAAGGGGAAGGTCCTTGGGTCCTTTGAGAGCAGTAAGTCATAGAAAGATAAGCAAAAAATAACACGCTAAGTGGTCCTGGGTCAACGTTTCAATATCATGCTTCGACTGCACTGAATGAAGCTGATTACATCAAAACTCAGGAATGCTCGCTGGCTATGAAATGGCGTTTCTATTGTCCAGCGGGTTAACGGGCAGCTCCGTCGCACGGCTTCTGGCCGTATGAGGCTGCCTACAGGTGTTCTGACCGCTTTATTATTTTCCCCGTCTTTCGACGAGGATTGCTGCCAGCTGGGCTCGCTCCGAACGCCGGCCCCATACTCCGCGCAGTTCCTGCCGCGGAACTACAAAGCAAAGCAGAACGCTTTCCGCTCGAATCGAGTCTAACATCTCACCGTCGGCGAGCGGTCCCAGCCCTTCGGAGCGGTCCCTCCCGGAGCAGGGCGGGCAGCGGCAGCCCCGCCGTCCCGCAGCCCGGCTCCGCCACGCACCGCCGCCCCACGGCCCGGGAACCGCCGCTCCGCCACCCGGGCCGCTCCTCGCGGCTCCCGCGCGGCTTTCGGCGCTTCCTCCTCCGGCGGTCCCTCGCTTCGGCCCGAGCGCGGAGGACCCCACCCGCGTGCGGGGCCGCCCTCCCGCGGCACGGCGGCCGGAGCAGGCCGCGGAGGGGCCGGGCGGCGGCGGGAGCGGGGCCCGCCCCCGGCACCACATGATGCCGCTCCTCCTTCCTGCCGTCCCGCCGAGAAAAGGGAACTGGGCGCGGGGCAGAGGAAGCGGCCCGCTCCTGCTCCCGCTCCCACGCCGGCGCCGCCCTCCGCCCCTTCCCTCCGCGCGGGGCCGGGCCGGGAGCGCCGCGGGCCATGGCCGGGCTGCGGGCGCTGCTGCTGCTGGGCTGCGCGCTGACCGCCGCCCGCGCCTTCAACCTGGACGCCGAGCGGCCGGCCGTGTACTCGGGCGCCGAGGGCAGCTACTTCGGCTTCGCCGTGGACTTCTTCGCTCCCGACCCCTCCTCGTAAGTGCGCGGCCCCGCGCTCCCTCTGCCCCGCGGTCCCGGTGCGGGTCTGCAGCGCATCTTCGCGCGGCTCCGCTGCCCGGCAGCCGTCCTGTCTGCGCGCGCGGGCGTCGCGACGTCTCCGCTATCTTAATCCCGCCGAGCGCGTTATTAAAAGCGAGCGTGTTCTATTTGCGTTCCTCCCTTTATTTTAAGGCGGCATCTGCGGCTCTCCGAGCGGCCGGCAGCGGCGCGGGGCGGGCTCGTTCCTTCCTTCTCCCGTTGGAATCGCCCTCTTGCCTTTTCGCGTTTCTTTGATGGTAACTGCTGAGCCCCGGCTGGGTGAGCGTAGTTCGGGGCTTTGTTTGTTGGCAACTTGAAACGCGAACGGTTCTTAGGTAGCGTGAGAGACTCCCTCCGTATCTTCAAGAGAAAGCTCTCCCCGTGACTTTAGCTGCGGGTGGAAGTTAGTTTGTATCTGCTCAGCTTCCCCTGCTGCCCCCGAGATCAAACCCCTAGTGAAACAAAGTCGCTCCGCAGCTTTTACAGCAGCCGGCCCTGGCGCAGTCAGGCCGGTTCCCTGGGAAGCAGGCCGGAACGCTCCGTGCGCGGGGTCCGCGATGCCTCCAGCCGCAGGCAGCGGCGCCGCGGGTCTCTGAGCTGCGGGAGGGGATGCTGGCCGCGGTGAGCCTGGGTGGGCGTTGGGTGGGAGCTGAGCCCCGCACGGCTGGAGGGAGTGAGTCGGGTTACGCGCTGCTCTGAACCTGTGCTTAGCGCCTCTTCGATACGGGACAGAGGTAAAAAGCGGCTGAGTTCAAGTAATTGAAGTCCAACTAAGGTGTTTGGATCGACTGGTGGTATGGCAGAGTTAATAGCTCTCAGAAGCTCAAGCTGCTGTTTTTTAGCTGCTGGACACCAGTGTAAAGCATGCTGAGGAGTCCTGTTTGAAAAACCTACTCCGTGAGTTGGTGGCAGTCTGTTATCTGGGTGCTATTTGGCTTCTGGCTCAGGATGTAACTGCGGTTCCAAGTGGCTGAAGGTGTGACTTACAAAGTAAAAGAGGCCTTGCATACACAGAAGCACTAATCTTGATAGTCTGTCGTTCCCATGTATGAGTGTATTTCAAAACCCAATCATCTTTATCAGCATATGGTAGAGCACTGGAAAGAGATGATTCCTCTAAGCACACCTATGGAAGCCTGACTGCAGAGGCTGGGAGCACATTGCCAGTGTTGTCTGCAGCATTATGTTGGGGTGGCTGGTGCCCTATGTAGGGGATGGGTGCCAGAGCACAGCTGATGCATGCTTGTGGAAATAGAAATCTCCCTCACTTGCTCTCTTTCCCAAAGCATGCTGAGTACAGGCTGCTTTGTAGACAGTCACTGGTCTTATAATTTGCCAGAAATGTTACAAATTACTCAAGTCTACTAGTTTGGTTTCTGATTACAGAAATGCGTTTATTTATTTTTTTTTCCTTGGGAAAAGAAGTGACTGAACCTTTGCAGAGTTCCATAGCAAGTCTTAAATTGGTGACCATGTTAATATACCTCATCATGGAGATTGCGTTATGAAAGAAAGGTTAAAATGAGTATGACTTATTTTTTTTAAAAGCAAATATTTAGTTTGGAGGGCTTCTCAAAACTAGTGAAGTAAGAGTGAAGAGGGAGGCAAGTTACCACTTGTTTAATAGATTGTATTTATAATAATTAATGTATTTCTTCACTTGGCATTATGAATGTTTATTTTTAGACCTTTCTGTTATGCCCAGAGAAAACATTTAAGTCTGTTAAAGCATCTCAAATTCTTTCTCTTGAAAACTACTCTGTGAATGCCATTAGGGGAACCAATGGATTTGGGAAGTCTGGATTTTCTACCAAGTTCTCACCAGGGGATTTTGAAGGTTCTGCAAATTAAATGGAGTTGAAAAATGACCTTGTTTGTTGGTATTCATATGAGCTGAGCTTTGGTAAGGTTTTATGTGTTTATACCTGGAATTCATGTATTAAGAAGAAAAAACATAGCTTAGAGCTAAAATGAAGTCTGGAGGATAACCATCACAACCAGAACAAGTCTGCCAAGTTTGGATCCATCTACTAGGAGACTTACTCTCTAACCAGCTTATCTGGCTATGCCTATTTCAAAACCAGCTGCCCTATCTGATACGGGATAGCATTGCCTGTGAGTGGAAGACTTCTCTCTTTTTCAGTCTAAATGAAAGCAGTGCAACAGAGCAGATTCTGATAAAAGGAAGCATTTAGTTCTACATCTTTGCTTCTTCTGGATGTCATTGCCTCTGCTTTAAATGGACTTCCTAAGAAAAGTGCTGATGAGTTGTGTGTCTGAGAGCTGTGGGAGTTCCTGGAAGAAGTTAATAGCCTTGTTTGGTCTGGCTTTGCGCTCCATCTGTTTCTTACTCTGCAGCATCTGCATTTTACCACTTGCACGAGCCCATACCGTAGCAGCTCCTGCTCAGAACGGCCCTCACTTACATGAGCAGGCATTTGTACAGTGACCCATCTTAATGAGGAAATGATTATCGTAATATGTATTGAATATGTAATGAATTTCAGTGGGGATTCATGAACGCGCAGGTCCGTGGCTGTCGGTGACTCGGGTGCTTGGTGATTGCTTTGAGCAGAGGGCTGGCTGATGCTGGGCTGACTCACTGCTCACTGCCTCCTGAGCACTGCTGTTCTGTGTATGCATCACTGGATATTGACCAACTTCCCTGAATTACTCTTATGTACAACATTAACTAGAAATGTTGCCAGACAATTTCTTTGTTAAATTATAGAAATACGCAACTACTACTTCTGTGATGTAAATGCAGATTTTTCTGTAAGGGGAAGAAAAGAGTATAAGAGGTGTTTATCTTACTTAAATGTCAGAGTATGTCATTCTTTATCTTCTTTCATCTCTTAAGTCAAAATTGGTTTGCCTGCTTTTGCTTGCAGAAAGGAGGGAGCCGAGCCCAGTATCAATTCCTCTGACACCTGAAGTAGTTTTGGCTTTAAACTTAATGCAAAGGCTCTATCCATTCAAATCTATGAACTGTTAGAATGTCATGAAGTAACAGTGTCTGTGCCTGAAGTTTTGAAACTCTCGTTTCTCCTTTTTACTGCAGGATATTTCTTCTGGTGGGAGCTCCAAAAGCAAACACCTCCCAGCACAATGTGGTAGAAGGGGGCCAGGTGCTGCGATGTAACTGGAACTCCAACAGGAACTGCCAGCCCATCATCTTTGACTCCACAGGTAATGTGCAGTTTGCTGCAGGGGAAGGGGCTCTGCCATGAGCCTGGGGCATTGCAGGAGTGCTTCACGCTCACATGGTGATTCCTGATGGTTGATTTGGATGTGGCAATTTTTGGACTGACAAGAAGTCAAGACTTGGCCTCTCTATGTCACCGTTGTTGTTTTTCCACTCTCTTGGAGAATGTTGTTATATTTGGTATATGCTGAAAGCTAAATCAAGCATACTTGCTTCTTCTTTTATTTTAACTTGATGATTTATTATGTTTCTTCTTTGTACTTTCTAGCACTCATAAAGCATTGAACAATCCAATTCCTGATAAACACTGAGGGACATTAGATGCCTATTAAGAACACAGCGTATAGGGATTGCTATTATCCTTATTTCATAGCAGAATATGTGCTGTATGAGGAAATACTCAGAAGCTTAACCTGAGACTGGGAATATAAACTTCAGACTGTTGAAAAAAACACGTTTTCTTACTTCTTGGATGTAGCTTTGTGACGTGTGACATTCCTGATAGGAGTTCTCAGGGTGCCTCAGGTCAGAGGCATTGCTTACCCATCTCCGAAGTGTATCAGAGCTGAGCAGCAGCAGTGCTGACATAAAACGTCTCACTCAGCCCTCATGCTCTAGTACACACAGTGATTTCCACAAGCTGTGGCAGGTCATGTGAGAATGCACCATGAGTGCTTTTCTGTTTGTGCCATTCAGTGCTGAATCCTGTTTTCCACAGCCTGTTTCAGGCCAGTGGAAAAACGTGTGTGTCCTGGGAGTGCATTAGCAAGACCTGCGTGGTATGGAGCAGGAAACACCTGTGCTTTAAAGTCTGGTAGGGTATAATTCATTTCAGCCTTTGCTGCTGTGACTTGTCAGTCCAAAGGCTGTAAAGTTTATTCAGCTTTTGTAAATCAGGTACAAATGCACTGAGGAGACTTTTCACTCAGTCCCACTGTCAAGGTATAGCACAGAATGCTGCTGGTGTTGAGAGTTCTCAGATGTGTTTATATATATTTTTGAAAACTGTTATCAGCTTCTTGCACGTAAAACACAAACAGAAGTGATGCAAATAATGATGCACACAAAGATGCACACAAAACCCAAGCTGCTATCTGTCTGCAGCAGCCTACAGAAACCTTTCTTTCAGATGACTTAAGAATACTTTTCTGTTTGTTTGTTTGTTTTTTAAGAATAATTTTTCCTTGACGTCTTTAGGTAATATTCTCCAGTAATACAATAGCTTAAGTGCATCTCATAGGGAAAGATGAGTCTCTAGGTAAGGTTCCAGATGCATCTTCAAATGAGAACTGCTATGGACTCATCCGTATGCCAGGCACAATAAATAGATACAAAGGCCTCACTGCTTTGCTTGATGTCTGTGCTTAAGGTATGTGCTACTGAGCAAACAAGCAGCATTTTGCTTATGATCTACCATTTTGGTAATGGACAAGTTAATCGTTTGAGTTTTAGCAGTAGAGCAAGCAGGTCATAGTGGCTTAGGAGGATTTATGTCAGGCATGTTTTAACTCATTCCAGCTTTGTGGCAGTGAAGTGGGAAATAATGCATTTGTCGATTATTCTCTGGGTGAAAAGGGCGATTGTATTTCAGTGTAATAAAATAATCAATGCTCTGAAACAAAATCAATTGTTTTTTTCTTTGTCTGTAACACAATGGTTGATTTCCTACATTAGAATGACCAAATCTTCTGCCAGCACAGTGCAGTCCCTCACTCCTGCTTGCCCCAAACTCACAGTGTAGCACTGGGAATCAGGGGAGGCTTACGATGCTCCTCACAGGAAAGAAGCAGCTGACGATGTGACCATTAACGTGCAGTGCTAATGGGAAGGAGTTTTTTTATGGATAGCTAAATGCAGTCTCTGCAAGAATTCAAGCTCATCCATCACTCCTTCAATATTTATGTGTTGCGGTATGTAATTGCAGAGGCATTGCTTAGCTCTGGAAACACAAAGCAGATCTATTTTAGATTGTTTGGCTGTTTTGTTAATAGGGAAAATAGCACGTCTTCTGTATAATTCATCAGCTGGGTTTCTTCAGAGTTCTCTATTTGCTTACAGCTACTGAGAAACCTGCCCTTTGAAAATAATGCGGGCATTCGGATATATGGCTTTCTCTGCATCTCTGTCCTCCTGTCTGTGGCTGCCAAGGTCTGCACAAGGACTGGCATGATCAGAACTGCCCGCTGTAAGGCATGGCCCTGCTCGTGCCTCCTGGCCCCTGTGCCAGATGGCACAGCCAGCAGGCCTGGCCCAGGCCGAGTCACTGTATTGCACACACCGCACAGCATGAGAAAAGAGGCCATGTCCCTGTACTAGAAGTGCAGCACAGCAATGAGCAAGTCATGTTCTGAGTGAGGCTTTCTATGCCTACTGACCTTCTGGTTGTATCACAAATAAGGTATGATAGAGGTAAAGCAAGGGAGGTGCTTCTTCCATCCTCCCCTCGTTTTCTTTTCCTTGTAAATTTGTACCTTATTTTTATTTGTACTTATTAATGTTTACCTCAAGCTGTGATTCCTTTTTCCTTCTGCATCTGTACAAAGGCCACGCTCAATTGCATATCAGTGCCTGAATAGAAATGGGTTTTATTTTCTGTCACTTGCTTTTGGCTTAAATACGGTTATTAGCACAGCAGTTTGGTCACTTACAGCTGTTGCATTTGTCCCAAGGTATGTAGCTGTAGCAATAAGGTACTGCCTCTTTGATATTGATCTCTGAAGGAGTTCTTCAAGTGCTTACTTTCTGCTAGCCATGCGCATCACTCACCCTCAGCTCCTCTGGAGAAGTGCAGTAGGTAATTGAGCTGATGCTTAGTCAGCTAAGTCCCTATTCCTGCAGTCTTGCTTGTCTTCCTCCTTCCTGTGCATAACCACCCTTTTAGGGGAGATAGCTGGGTGCCTCACAAGAGGAGTCCATTCATGGAACTCTTCTATCTCTCATACTGAAAATGAGTGAATATACATATATTCATACATACATCATTCAAATGTATATGTATGTTTTCACCTGAATATGTAACATAAAATTCCTTGTTAAAATATATATGATTTTTAAGCTGCTGGCCAGAAAAAGTTCTTTTGCTGTTCTACATAGGATGTTTTCTCACTTAAAGCAGTGATAGAGTTGTGAAGGGGAAAGAGGATCTCCCTTTGCCTTGGTGTCCTAGGACTCCCTGCATGGTGGGAGAATGTTCTACACGTGTGCCTGTGTGCGTGTGTTTCTGTGTGCACATGACACTAATTGCTTTTGACATTCTGGTACACATGGTGGCTTTGGAAGGCAAAATGTTTATATCGCACATTAACACTTCCCAAATGTAAAGATGCTTCGCTGTGGGGCTTCTGAGAGCTTTAGCACTGACATCAGTTGGCTTTGATTTAATGTCGTTATGACTATGTGAAAATTGCATAACAAATGTGTGGTAGAACATGCCCTCAGATTCGAGGTACATATGGCTGTGTTTTTGTGTATATAGCCAGAATGTCAGAATACTTTTTTCTCTTTAGAAAGGCTTTAAAATATAATTGGACAAACATTTCAGGCAGGTTTTTTACACTTAGAGGTAAAATTAAAAAGAAACCAATCACTCAGGCAAGCTTCCCCACATGCACAATTTTGTTCATCTGATGCAAAATTGAAATATGAATCAGTGCCTGTGTCTCTAACAGGTTATCCTGCTGCTAGAAATAGACCTTACTAAAAAGCATTGAATAAGACTTTCTTGCCTTGTTCCAGGTTTTCTTGCTGATTCAGTAGCTAAATATGCCACTGTCAGAAAACAGAAGTTCCTTGTCATTGTGTTCTTCTGTATATTGACTTCTTACTGCATTTACCACAGCTTCACCACAAATTCAATTGAACTGTTATGTAAAACAATTGGGATTATTTTTCCTTCTGCCTCTGTCAACTTTCAGAGTTTCCATGTATAGGAGGGTGCTCAAAGTTGCCACTGTTTTGTCTAACAAATGATATTATCAGATCATTTTCTTTGCTAGACATTATATATTTCACACTCACATTTCACATTTGTTATTTGGTTGGTGAGTTTTTTTTTATTATTATTATTTCTTTTAATTTTTATTTTATTCCTACTTAGCTGAGGCACTCTTAGTATGATTAATTTAATTTTGCAGGATCTGTGAGCACTAGTGCTATTTCTCTACAGAACTGACTGGAGAGGTGATTCCTCTCTTTGAAATTTGGCTTTGTTTGTCTTTTTACCTAGCAGCTTTTCCCAGGAAAATGTGTGTTCCTGGTGGGTCCACTGTAAATGGAACACACTTAATATAGCAGTCCTTTTTTCTATTACTGACCAGTTCTGAGAAGTCCAAAACCACTTGTTTTAAAGATGCACTTCTCTGCCTCCCCACAGTCTTGGTTTGGACTTTGGCCAAGCTGCTCTGATGGGAGGTGTCCGTGCTCATGGTTGGGGGTTGGAACTGGGGTCTTTAGGGTCCCCTTCTACCCACACCATTCTGTGATTATTTGTCAAAGGATTTTAGAGAGTGGGTGCATTTGGAATTTTCGTTCTGAGAAAAAAAATTCTTCAGAGACCCATGTAACCAGCTGGAATTAATGAAACTGTACACGTGTGAGCAATATGTAGCAAATTAATGTAAACCAAATGAGTTTCCTATGTACTTGTTATCCAAAAGGAAGCAGTCTTCTTCGTAACTTTATTTTACTTTCCATCTTGGAGCCCTAGCTCTGTATCAGTCGAGAATATTGGGAACTCATTTGGTAGAAGCAGCACTACTTCATACTCCCATGTCTTTTATTAAAATACTAACAAAATAGTTTTGTGATGATGTTAATCAGAGCTATAACTGGGAGATGTACCAGTTCCAGAATAGGATGTTTGAAAGTGTAGCTCGTTATGGCAGCATAAAGAAGAAGTGCAGTGCTCAGACTGTTTCAAGAACTTCAGCATAGAGTAATCTGATGAAATGCTGAATGCAGACAGTTCTACAAACTGTTACAAAGG